TAGATGCCCCGGCCACGCCGGCTGCACCCTGGAAGCCACCCAGGACCCTGCGCCGTCCCGCAAGCGTCCCAGCGTAGCCCGTCGCCCTCGGCTTCGCCGAACTGAATCCTCCCGGCAAAGGGTTTATTCCGGCAGCCCAGAACACGGCTACGACTTATTTTTAAAAATAAGATCAGAGAACGCTTGAAATGTCATCTGCTGCCGGGAAAGTGAATTCAAAGAATGAACTTATGAAGAAAAACAGATTTGGAAGGAAAAAAAAAAATTTACAGGCACAGTAGTGTCCCAGATTTAGAAAAACCCCTTCTCCCCCTAAAAGCGAGGCAAATCACCGCCACCCCGGGATTACAACCAGCGATGCCCCAGGGAGGGCTCGGGGCTCTGTGTGCGCAGGTGGCTCTATGCTGGGACAGGGGAGAGGACGCCTTGCAGAACATCCCCCCCCATCATGAGGGGAAAGGAGGGGCCCTCCCCCTCCGCTCCAGCCTGAAGAGGAGCCTGGGGACTACGGCTGGGGGCTGAGGGCCGGGAGTTGAAAGCTGTCAGAGACTGGGCTCGGGCTGGGGTCTTTCAGGTCACAGACAATCTTCACGGAGTAACTCAAGACAACGACACTTCCTAAAAGATAAACCCGGCCAGAGCACACCAGGCACCAACGATCATTTTAATGCTTTCCCCGATGAACGGCAGACAACCACGTCATCACGGCTTGTTTTGCAAGAGCCATGAGGATGGAGCCAGAGGAACTGCCAGCTTTTTACCGAGGCTTCCCAACGGACACACCTGCGTTTGCTCGAGTTACTGAGAGCACCTCTCCAGCTCTGAACCAGCAGCGCCGCCAAACAGTCGGTTCCAACGTGTAACTCGGAGCCGCTCTCTGCCACGCTAGTTTCTAACATCGCACTGCAGGGTTATGTTGGGTTCTGCACACAGGTTTTCCTCAATCGCTGCTTGCGAGACACTCGCTATAAAAACTGAATATAAGTTATTGGCCAGGGAGAAGAAAGCCCTTGTCCTGTACAACTCCACAGCTACAATAAAGCTTTGTATGTGCCAAAACACATGTCCACGTCTTGACAGATTCTACAAACACCGCAGACATTATGGACAGTTTATTCTAGTGAAGTCTGTTTTTCAGTTTCTAATTCATGTTCAGCAGCAGAGATGATCAAAGGTTACAGCGGAGTCGCACAAGAACTACAGCACCTCAGCCAACTCGGAGCCTTGCGGGGGTTTCACTACACTGACTGTTCTGGCACTGAAGGGAAGGGCCCCGCACTCCTGCCACGCCACACACCAGAGCGAGAGCTGGCTTACAAGGACTCCACAGGATCTTTCACCCTTAAAGAACACGTACACGGCTCCTGGGTACAAGAAATCCTTCCAGCCGGTTAGACTTACCCAACTCCTAATCACAACTACCCTGCTGAGAATCAATTTCAAAATCCTAAGGAGCTCTCCTTCCTGCAGGGAAAAGCTCGTTAAAAGAGCCAATGTAGCCATCCCTTAATTTTTGGGTAACAGCAGCACAGAGATTCCCTGCTCAGTATCTTTTGATTCTGGAGCTGAAAAGGGAAAAGGTGTGTGTCCAAAAGAAGCCTCTAGAGTCCTCCTGTTCCACGTCAGGAGTGGGCTTCATACTGGTCTCAGGCGTGGTTCTTCCTCCTCCTCGTGGTTTGGTGGCTGCTGGGGCATTTCTTCATCTCTTGTGTCTTGCTTGTCTCTCTCCGCTTGAAGCCAGCTCTGAGGAGCTATCATTTTCTTCGGCCCATAGGGCGGAGGCCCAATCAAAGCTTCAATGTCATCATAATTTATCACTTCTTTCTCCAGGAGGGCATTAGACAGCTAGAAAGAGTAAATAAGGCATAATGAGGCACAGGGGTTTGAAAACAGCCTCCCCGAACCGATCTGAACTCTCCCTGCCAGCTCAACTCAGATCTCAACATCTGGACACAGCACGTGCTGCAGCCCACGAGGAGCAGACCCCTGGCTACCACACCACAGACGGGGTGACCCGAAAGCCTGCTGGAGCCAGTACAAAGTTCTCCAGGCTGCCGGCACCTTTCACAAGAGCGTTTTTGGCCAGGAATACATAGTGTGACTGGAGGCAATAAAGCAAGCTCTAGGGAATGATTCGGCGAGTCAGAACTCCAGGAACAATTCGAGAAGTGCCCTTCCTGCCACTGTCACCGCAGCTGTGGCCCTGCCCATCTAAGGTGCCAAAGTAACAGCAAGTAAGACCAGAGCCAGACCCACACCCCTCCCCTGTACACACTGGGATAACAAAGAGCTGTCTGTTCCTGCAGGCACGGGCCGAAGGTCATCAGAAGTTCCTCTCCAGAAAAGTTGAATTCTCTGGCCCCTCTGCCAGCAGAAGGACCACACTTGAGCAGCAGGTGGCTGTCAAACATGGAACGGCTCAATTCTGCTGACAAGATGCGACACACTGGCCTGGCAACCGAAACATTTACTCTGTAGATACTTTGGCTTAACTTAAAAGTTTTTCTGTGATGAGCCTCTAGCAAACATCTGACTGCTGTTAAAAGCAAGCATCAGAACAGAGGAGGCCTGCAGAGAGGAGACCCCCTAACAACGCCTGCCTTCAGAGCCCTCCCGGGGCACTGTCCCGGGGACAGGGCTGTGATATGGCCGACAGCAGGGTGTCTGAGCAAGCAAGCTCTGGTTACCTTACTACGCTCAGCAGGCCTGCAGTTGCGTAGCTGAAGGGGTGGTTGTTGTTTGTTTAAAAAGTTTTAAGGAAAAGGATTGTTTTATTTGCAAAACATGCAACACTAAGTTGACTCCTGGTCACTTTGGATGTTAGGGACCAGACTTCTGAAGGAAAGATCAAGTAGATACACAGGGTGCTGCAACCCAAGCGTGGCTCAGCCCAGAGCGATGGGTACAGAGCTCCCGGCAGAGGTGGGGACATGCCAGGGTGACTGGCTAGGGGACCGTCAGGACACAAAGAGGAGGAGGCAAAGCTCTACCTTGTAACAAGGACTCCTTGGTATATTAGGTATCAAGGAGCTGGCAGGTAAAAACTGCCTGGAGTCACCAGAAAGCATGAACCAGCATCAGCCAGCCAAGGTGACAGGTCCCGTATTCCTTCCGCAAAGCCAGAAACTGTCCTGGAAGGATGAGCTGTTCCTGCCTTTGCAGGCTTCACGGAAACAGTCGCTGTCTGCTTTCCAGGGAATTACACTGCCAAGAGGCTAGCAGAGAAGTGCAAGTGAGGGACACAAATTCTAGCTTTGATCACTTCCACAGAGCACTCCTACTCCTCTACCCTGCAAACACCAGCTGGTGTCAGGAGGCAGACTGCTCACTGCTGGAAGAGACACACATTCCTCCCTGCGCCTGCTCCTAATCTGGGGGATACGCAGTGAACAGTCACTTGTTCACAACGCGAGCCCCAGCGCTCCCACCACAAGACTTTCTAGGACCACAGAGACATTGCAACAGCAGAGCTACAGAGCACAGAAAGCAGCAAGGCAAAACGCACCAGTTAAAAAAACCAACCAACCGAAAACAACAACAAAAACCTCACACAACTCCAACTTACTGTTTGCAGCTTGTCCCGGTTCTCCAATA